TAGTACTAGTTTGGTTCATAGTCCAGAAAGTGGTTGCTTTTTAACCAGAAAATCTAATTTACATGAGAAAACAAGTAAAAGCAAAGTGTATCACAGGCAGAGAATAAAATGAACCTTAACTAAGAATGTTTCTAAAATACTGCATACATTTCTGATTTTGCAACTATAACCATCAATTGGGAAACTCCACAGTTGTAACCAAATTGCAAGTTTTGCTCTCTCTGGAGGAAAGGCGCCTAGCGGATTAATGTTCATATTCACCCCAGCTGAAATTCCCAAAAGCTGCTCAGAGTTCACAATGGAAAAACTCTTCCAAGGGGGCATTTTTGCTCTATTTCTCCATCAGTCTCTGCCCTGCTACACTAGAAATGTCCCAGTCTGTCATACCTGCTACATATTCTCAAGATGGCTGACAAGGTCTTCTCTTCATAGGTTAGGACATCCAAGTGTAAAGCAGCACCAATCTACATATGGAACAATGCTATTAGCATACTATTATCGTCATTACTCTTGTATTATCGTCATTACTAATCCTGTCAACTCTTTGTTTTCTGAGTTTTTCTCCTCCACATTAAGCAATAGCATAATGGTGCTGGCACTCTGAGCTGCCTGCTTATTACACCTCCCCCTGCCTGGAATGTTCTTCCTATACCTCTTCATATGGCTGATATATCCTCACCCTTTGAGTCTTTGTTTATAATTGTTCCTTCCCTGATTCCCAAAATATGGCTCAATCTACTTGCTGTTCTCTTTCCTATTCTCATCACTCTTGTCACTGTTTAACATGTTTTCCTACTACTAGCACCAAAACCATTAGCCCATGAGTCAGAGATCATGTCTGTTTATTTACAGCTATATCCCCAGGAACCAGGTTTTACACCTGACAAAGGTGCACAGATCTTTTTTAACTTTTTACTTAGAAAAATTAGACTCACAGGAGACTGCAAAAAAATGTACAGGAAAGTTCCACGCACCCTTCACCCAGCCTCCCCTAGTGTCAACATCTTACACAACTATAGTACAGTATCAAAACCAGGAAACTGGTATTGGTACAATTCAGAGTTTATTCAGATTCCACCAGTTATAAATGCATTCACATTAGCTGGTATGTATGTTTGTGTGTGTGTGTGTGTGTGTGTAGTTTGTAATTTCACCACAGAGGTCATGTAGATAAAGAACTGTACCATCACAGGACTTCCTCGGTCTACGCCTTTAGTCACATCCACTTCTCCTCCCCCATCCATAGCCCCTGGCAACCACTAACCTTTCTCCAGATTATATATTATTTCAAGAGCATTATATGAGGGTACTTCAAAAAGTTCATGGAAAAATTTGTATTATCTTTCAATTTTCTTTTTTCCCCACGAACTTTTTGAAGTATCCTCATATAAATGGAATCACCCAGTATGTAATTTTGGGGGACTGGCTTTTTTCACTCTGCATAATTCTTGTATCAATAGTTCACTTATTTCTACTGTTCAGAATATTTCATGGTATGAATGTTCCATAGTTTAACTTTTTTTGTTCGTGTGTTTGTTTTTGGTGGCTGGCCAGTGCAGGGATCTGAACCCTTGACTCTGGTGTTTCCATAGTTTAACTATTCCCCCACTGAAGAACACTGGGATGTTTGCAGTTTTTGGTTATTACACATAAAGTTTTTGTTATTAAACACACGAACATTTGTGTACAGGTTTTTGTATGAATATAAGCTTTGACTTCTCTGGGATAAATGCTCAGGAGCACTATTGCTGGGTTATATAGTAAGTGCATGTTTAGATTTTTTGGATTTTTTTGGTGGCTGGCTGGCACAGGGAACAAACCCTGGACTTTGGTTCTATTCAGCACCATGCTCTAACCAAATGAGCTAACCGGCCAGCCCCATGTTTAGTTTTTTAAGAAACTGCCAAACTATGTTCCAGAATGGCTGCACAATTTCACATACCCACTGCAATCTATGAGTGATCCAGTTTCTCCACATCCTCGCCAGCACTGTTAGCACTACTTTTTATTTCAGTCATTCTGCTAAGAACAGTGATACCTCATTGTGTTATTAATGTGTATTTCCCTAATGGCTAATGTTGTTAAACACCTTTTCATGTGCTTCTTCGCCAAATGTACATTCCTTTAGTAATGTCTACTCGTGTTTTTTGCACATTTTCTAATTAGATTGGTTTTTTACTATTGAGTTTTGAGAGTTCTTCATATATTCTAGATATTAATCCTTTGTCAGACATGTGGTTTGCAAATATTTTCCCCCAGTCTGTAATTTGTCTTTCCATCCTCTTAACAGAGTCTTTTGCAGAGTAAAAATCTTTAATTTTTTTTTTTTTTTTTTGTCTTTTGTCTTTTTCCGTGTCCGGCAACGGATCGCAA